CAAAATTTTTCAAAGGTTTGAATGTTGGAAAATTATGGAAGAGAATAGTACGTACGGAGAAAGCCAGTCTTTCCCAGTGCTACCGCCCGGCCCCGCCAATCAGGCTGCCTTCCTCGCCTTTGTCGTGCCCATCGAACCTTCCTTACATTTTCTTTTTTTCTTCTTTTTTTTTTTTGCCATAAATATAAATCATATGTTAGATTATAATATAATATAATTCTCAATTTCGTATTGCATCCATTAATGTCCCAAATATCTATATTTCGATTTTTCATGTTGTAATTGTTGAAAAAAAATTAATTAAATTATATCAACGTCATTTTAGAACAACCAAAGAATAGTAGTATGAGAATTTGAACAATCGAATTCAGGTAAAATAGTAGACATTGTTTATCGTTGAACTATATTTATGTCTGTGTTAGAACGTTTAATTTGATCTCTAATTTATCTACTATGTTTCATTTTTTTATGAATTATTCTTTTTATTTTATTATAAAAAAATTAAGATGAAGCTTTCGTAACGGAAGTTCCATTACTATAGTTTAGTAATCGTAGAATTACAAATTAAAAAATTTGTCTTTTTGAAACCAGATTTGTATCTTTACAACATTATAAGAATATCAATCAAATATCAAATTTATAGTCTCTATAAATTAATTTGAATAAAAAGTAAAATTAATCGAACAAACCATGTGATGGGAAAATGTTAAATTTACATTTTTCATGCACGTTGTAAATGAATGTCGCTATGAAACGTTAATTTAATAAGATTTTTAATATATTTATTAGTAATAAAATAATGACCCGTTTGGTTGGCATTTTGTAACGTAGCTTCCAAGCATGCAACCAGGTGTTTAGTTTTCTCTCTTTTCTCTTCCAAGAAAATCATGCATTTTCCCAGAAAGTGATATTTCAACTCATGAAATAACTTTCTCACCCAAACAGCAACATTTAATAAAACTTTTTTTTTCTTTTTTAATTTAATCACTGTGGTTTTTTTAATACATATATACATTTCGTATAATTTGATTAAATATCTCAAAACTTTTACGTTTCAACTCGATTTTTGGTAGATAAGCTAGCTAGTTGATTGTGTCAAGATATAAATTTACTAAAGATAAATGAAATTAAATAGATATTAATATTAAAAATAAAAATTGGGTTATAACCAACTTTGAGATTTTAAACCTTGTGTTCCTTTTGAAATCATCAAGAAAACGTGATAAACATGTTCTAAAATTTTAATTCTTAAAATCTACCCATTTTCTTGAAACCAACTTTAACAACTACAACCATATAATGTAACTATTTTATAGTGCCCACTTATCCTAAATTTTAAATCATTCCAGTTTTCTTTACAATTAAATATTAAATGAGAAAAATTGAAACAAAAGCGTAAAATTAGAAGGATTGACATAATAGTAATTGTAATTAGAGATCATCACTCAACTATCAACCTTCATCAGTTCATGGAAAGAAAATGAACGGAAAAAAAAAATAATAAAATATTAAAAAATTCAAGAGTTTCACATTATTGACTTTGACCAAATCCGCCAATTATTCCTCACAAAAATTCGAAATGTTTATTTAAAATTTCTTTTAAAAAAATAGAGAACCAGAAAAGCGTGTTGAAACATCAAACCCCGGTCTGAAGGTACAGCTACGGATCTCCTCCTTCAGTCTCCATCTTCGTTTCTTCACTCTCTCTCTCTCTCTCTCTATTTTAAATTTAAATCTCAAT